TGGGATCCTGATAGGGACATTTGTGCAGGTGGCTCCAACAGAGACTAATGGCCACAGACTGCTATGACATATGTTTAGAGAAGGCAGGACTGCTGCTGCTAGCTTGACAATAGGAATGAGAAAAGGACTTTTATTTGGGTTGATGGGATTACATTTATTAGTAAGGGGAAGTCTTATGAAAGAACTGGAGGTGTTGTCTTGTTTATGGGGGAGGATAAGTTGGGACTGCGTTCTGACCTACTTTGTTTGTTTGGTTTTACATACTAATCTCAGTTCCCCCCTCTCCCCTCCTCCTGCTCCCCCATCTTCCCCTCATCCCACCTCCCTTTTGCTCCTCAGAGAGGGTAAGGCCTCCCCATGGGAGTCAATAAAGTCTGTCCCATCACCACACTGAGGCAGGACCAAGGCTCTCCCCCCTGTGTCTAGGCTGAGCAAGGTATCTCTTCATAGGAAATGGGCTCAAAAAAAAAAAACAGTTCACGCACTAGGGATAGATCCTGGTCCCACTGCCAATGGTGCCATAAACTGCCCAAATCACCTACTGTCACCTTCATTTAAGGGGCCTAGTTTGGCCTTAAGCTGGTTCCCTAGCTGTCAGTCTGGTGTCAATGAGCTCTCACTTGCTCAGGTCAGCTGATTCTGTGGGTTTCCCCATCATGGTCTTGACCCCTTTGTCATATTATCGCTCCTCCCACAGCATAAGCAAATGTAACACATCTTCGGCTAATATTCCACAACAAGCAGGTTACCATCAGACTTGATGAATCACAGTAACTTGACAAAAATTTTCTGGAGACACTGTTTTAATCCTCAAAAATAAAATGGAGAAGATGGGAAACAGCAATACATGCACATTCCAAGCTTGCCTGAAGTAGGAGACAAAAATATGTTTGACAATGGCTCTAGGAAACCCCTTCAGGTGACAAGATCCATAGATGCTGAAGTCTCATCAAGAGATGTACTATTTGCATATAACCTATGCACCTCCTCTTCTATTCAGATGCTCTTTGACTTAGGGTAAGAATCTCTCCCGTTGGGTTCACGATAAAGTTGGAATACTTTATGTTGGTCCATCATTAAGTTAGAAACTGTCTTTAGACATCTCTAAATTGCTTATGCAGTATACTTATGTTATACCTTTATTGTAATTACTTAACTAACTGTTCCTTAATTACTTATTAAATATCCAGTAGAGAGTAAATTCTGTGTAAAAAGTTGTTACATTAGATGGTGTAGGGAATAACGATAAGACAAACAGTCTGTATGTGTTCAGAACACACAGTGCCCTTGTGCCTTATGACAGTATACAAATGCTAGATGAACAGCACTAGAACAAAGAGTACTGTAGGGAGCTTCATCAGGGCATGCCAGCATATCATTCCATTTATATGGACTCATCAGACTGCTCAACACACAGCGCATTCAGGTTGTGACTTTTGAATTTTTCTCTATTTTCCACAAATAGTTTTGATTCTAGGTTGTATCCATAGGTGTAGGATATGTAGCTATGAAAGGTCAGTGATCATTACCTTTATATAATTGAGATGCTGGCACCAATAGCTTTTAGATCTTTTAAATGCTTTGTTACCAGCACTCTGCCACACACACACACACACACACACACACACACACACACACACACACACACACACACACGCATGCACGCACTCATGCATGCACACATGTGCTTTTGCCGATTTGTGAACACTTACTGACTGACATATGTTTATAAAATTGCTATATGGTAAAAATATGCCTACATTTCAAAGAACTCGTTCAGGATTACAAACTGAAAATGCTAAGTATGAAAAGGCATCACTGAAGAGAAGATGGAGGTCTGTGGCAGAGCACCTGCCTAGCATGCACAAGGCCCTGAGTTTGATCCCCAGCGCTACAAAACCTACATAGCAGGGGAGCTGCATTGTACAGGTTTAATGTGCAGGGTTTTATGTTATGGATAGTAATAAGTATTGTGTCTGAAAATATGGTGATAGTTAAAGCAATGTAAAGGCTTAGAGTTTCATAGAATCTACTGTAATACTGCACAAGATTCCGTTATCCTTTTTAGCATTTTTTTACTTTTATAAACTTAGCATTCAAAGTATGAGTCTTCATTATTGCATTTTCCTGCTTTTTGGTTGATTCTTCCCCACGCCGCCCCACCCCGCTCTCCAGTGCCCCTGTTCCTTGACTTCTTCTCCAACCTGCCATACTATTCCCCATTTGCTTCTTGTCACATGGATTCTATTACTCTCTCTCCTCTCCCTCCTCCCTTAGCACCCCCATTTCCTCCTGCTCCCCTTTCTAGTTTTATACTCTCCTACACACATATACACACATACAAAAACGACAGTTTAGGATTTGGGGGTTAGGCAGATGGCTCAATCAGTAAAGTGCTTAGAAGGCAACAGAAGATCCTGAGTTTATCCTCTGAACCCACATTTTAAAAATGCGAGGTGTGTACTTGTAATCCCAGTGCTGTAGAGGGAGGTGGATCACTGGGGCCGGATGGTCAGCCAGCCTACTCTAATTGACAAGCCCCAGGTCACTGAAGACATGCTGTCTCAAAAAATGCTTGCAGAACCATACCAGAGGTTCTCTTCTGGTCTTCACATATGTCCACATGAACATGCACACAAATATACCCCAAATCTAGGATCTACATAGGAGAGAAGACATACAGTATTCGTCTTTCTGAGTCTGGATTACTTTGCTTAATATGCTAATTTAGATTCCCATCTGTTTTTCTATACATGTCATGATTTTATTTTTCTTTATGGCTGAATAAGTTCAGTTGTGTGAATGTACCACATTTTCTTCGTCCATTAATCGGTGGACAGATATACAGGGTGTTTCTGTTTCTTGACTATTATGAATAATGCAGTAATAGACACAGATGTTCAAGTATCTCATGCTCATTTCCATAGTGGCTACAGCAGTTTTCTCTCCAAGAAGCAGCTAATAAGGGGTCTACTTCTCCCACATCCTCTCCAGCTTTTTTTCTTACTTTTTGTCTCTTTTTGTTGGTGATTTATTTTTGTTTTGTGTATATGGACGTTTTGCCTACATGTATGTATGTGCATCACATGTGAGGTACCCCAGACACTATAAAAGGCGGTCAGATTCCCTACCACTAGAATTACAAAGGATGCTAAGCCACCAGGTGAGGGCTGATTCCTGCGCAATATCAGCAAGTGCTTTTAAGTGCTGCGCCGTCTCTAGCCCCATGTTTTTGTAATGGTAGCATTTTGACTTGGGTGACTTGGAATATCAAAAGTTTTCATTTTCATTTTCCTGATGGCTAAGGATGTCAAACACTTTGTAAAATGCTTATTAGCCATTTGTATTTCTTCTTTTGAGAACTTTCTGTTCAGTTTGTTACCTTATTGCATAATTTGTTTTTGTGATGTTTAATTAGAATTCCTTGCCTGAAATTTAGCTGACAGGGTGTTTCTAAAGATTATCTGCTGGTGCTTGAATTGTTGTGCAAATGCTTTTGAAAAAATTGTAATTCCATTTTTCAGTTCTTGGCGTTATTGCCTGTACTATTGGAACCCTTTTCAGAAAGCTTTTGCCTATGCTTATATCTTGAAGTGTTTTCTCTCTAGCAGTTGCAGAATTTCAGGTCTTACATTGAGGTCTTTGGTTCATTTGGATTTATTTTTGAGGTGGATGAGAGATACAGATCTAATTTTATTCTTCTGCATGTCTAAATGCAGTTTCCAAAACAGCTGTGATGAATACCAAAAATTCAGTCTCTTACAGTATATGAAAATAAGACTAAAAACCAACAGTAAGAGAAATTATAGAGATACTTAGAGACTGAAAAATACATTTCTGAATGTATTGAGGAAATCGGGGGGAATTTTAAAATTCCTAGAATCAAATGTAATCATAATACAACCTACAAGAACCTCTAGGATATAGCTAAGCATTCCTAGAGGGAAAGCTTATAGCTTTAAGTGCTTACTTTAAAATTCATAGTAGGGTCTGGAGAGATGATTCAGTGGTTATGAGTGCTTGCTGATTTTACAGAGAACCCAGCTACTCTTCCCAGCTGCCACATGGTGTCTCACAAGCATCTGTAACTCCAGTTCCAGAGAACTCAATGCCCTCTTCTGACCACTGAGCAGAGGCATGCATGTGGTATATTCATATACATGTAGGCAAAACACCCATATACATAAAAAACCAACAAAACAAAACTGAACTTTTTAAAAGCAGTGGTCTCGCTCGGGTGGTGGCGGTGCACGCCTTTAATCCCAGCACTCGGGAGGCAAAGGCAGGTGGATCTCTGTGAGTTCGAGACTAGTCTGATCTACAAGAGCGAGTTCTAGGACAGCCTCCAAAGTCACAGAGAAACCCTTTCTCAAAAAAACCAAAGGAAAAAAAGACAGTGGTCTCAACTAATGATGTACCACAAGTTTCTAGAAACGTAGTAAATGCCAAGAAATAATAAAGATTGGGGCAGAAATAAATGAAATAGAGACTAAAAGAACATTTAGAATCAGTAAAATAAAAATCTGATTCTCTGAACTAATAAGCAAGTTTGACAAAACCCTAGCCAAACTAACTTAAAAAGGCTGAAATTAATAAAATCAGAGATGAGCCACATTTTATTATAACTGACCCCAGTGAAATCCTAGAAGGGCCAGGAGGACTGATCAATATGGAAAACTTTGAAAATCTTCCTTAAGGTACCAGTCAAACACCACATTTTTTAGAGAAAAAGTCTTCAACACCCTACTTTTTAACAGTTAAGTACAAAAATAAAAAGAGGTCAAGGTTCGTCAAACTTAGGTTCTCACTTATCCACTATGCTTTTCTTGTTCCCCTATTTGTACTTTTAGGGAGAAGGAAATACAGTGGGTTATAGTGAATGTATTTTCAAAAGTAATCCCAGAGTGGTGGTAGGAATAGAACTTAGCAAGATGAATCAGGGTGTGAAGAACCATGGTTATTATCTGCTGATTTGCTAACCTAATGTGTTCATTTTAAAGGAAAGCCCAGAAGAAAGGACAATAGACATGAGCTATATTCGGGTAAATAAATTTACTTTCATCATGGACATGGATTTCATGAAGCTTAATCGAGATTTTGTATGCCTTTACTTCTTTCTTAGTCTTAGTTTTACTGCCTGAAAAAAGTGAAAATGAAATGTTTGCCTTCATAATGCTGTCAAATAACTTTCATCCAGGTTTATTGGCATAGACCTTCATTATCTCTAGGATACAACTCTTCATAGTTTGTCTCTTGCTATTCTGATCATTCATTGTCTCATGTAATAGTACAGTTGTATGTATCTAAAGTGAACCTGATGTTAGAACACTGTGTACAGTGTTCTCAATATCCTAGAAAATCCTGGGTATACAGCATAGACTGTGAGTGACATAATATCTTTTGTGTCATCTATTTTAGATAGTAAGTTTCTAGGGGATGAGAATGGTGACACTTTCTCATTTCACAGTACTTTGCTATGATGAATTTTTTGCCAGTATAATTAAAGCAATATTTAGAGCCCTTGGATTAATTTAGTGACTTAGCTCTGATCATGAACCTAGGCCTTCTAAGCTAATGTTTGCAATTAAAACAATATTTAGAGCCCTTGGATTAATTTAGTGACTTAGCTCTAATCATAAACATAGGCCTTCTAAGCTAATGTTTGCAATATGTGTTCAGGATGTTGTAAACTTGAGCCAGGGAACAAATATTCATGTTCAATAAGTCATTTTTTCTTTTTTGTACCTGCAGGGGAAGACGTGGAACCAGTATTTGGACTATTTATTTTCAGAGGGTTTTCAGGGCCTGAAACTTTTCATAAAAAGTAGCATCCATCGTTTTTCTATATCCTAAACAGAGAACTAGTCCACAATGGTGAACAGTAAAAGAATGTTGACATAAACAAACTGAGCATGCTGAACTAAATTCCTCATTGCTAGAGAGGCCAAGTAGCTCAGCGTGAGTTTCCATACCCATTTCCCAAGCCAACTGCCATCTTTAAGAAGTACTTAGACTGACCTGTCCATGGCTCAGGAGAGCCTTGGTGTGACTAACTTATTTTTTAGCATTCAGAGTTTTAGCTTACTAATGAAAAATAACCTCTTCACATCTGCTTTCTAGTGGGAATTTTTATCTGCTAGGTTAGTAGAAGAGAACAAGTAATATAAAGCTACTCCGCTGACATTGTTATGCAGAATACTCTGCAATCTCTGAAATCTTGGGAACATTTTCTGTTTTTCTTATGTGAACACCAGTGACAGCACCAAGTTACTTATAATAGGACACAACACATTCCCAAGAAGCTGATGATTATCTGGGTATGCACTAGCAGTAATGTATGAGGGAAGGAAGTGGGGAGAGGATGATGAATTTTCTGGTTTTATTGGCTTTGTTTCCTGAAACCACTATGTTATTTGAGTGTATATGTGTATGTATGTAGTTATATACATATTCAGATTTTAAATATCCAGACCTAAATAAACTAATGTCAGTTTTACCTTCAGGAGTAATTCTGAAGATTAAAAAAATCCATTACAGGGAGATTATTTTGTTGAAAATTCTTTGTACACTTTGTTTAACCACTACTGAACAACTTCTATTTAGTACATTCACATGTAACAACTACTAAACAACTTCCATTTAATACATTCACATTGAGAATAACATCTGATTTTTCAATGGAGACTATGAAAGCCAGAAGGAACTGAACAGATGTTCTAAAAGCTCCAAGAGACCAGAGATGCCAGCACAGACTACTATACCCTGCAAAACTATCAATCTCAATCTCCAAAGAAACATTCCACAATAAAAACAAATTAAAGCAATTTCTGTTTACCAATCCAGCTTTACAGAAGGCACTAGAAGCAAAACTTCACTTCAGTCTGAAGAGAAGAATATACCCAAAGGACACAAGGAATAAATAATCCTGCAACAGTTAGTCAAAATGGTGCAGGAGGTTCTCACACTACCACAACAAAAATAAAGGGAATTAATAAGCACTGCTCATTAATATTTCAATTCCCCAACAGACTGAATTAAAAAACCAAGAAACACACCTCACTACCAAGGATAGACATTATCTTAGGGTAAAAATGGAAAAGTATTTCAAGCAAATGAATTCAAGAAGCAAACATGTATAGTTTTTTTAATGCCTGACAAAACAGACTTCAAACAAAATAATTAGAAGGACACTAGCTACTCATTAAAGAGGATATTAGAATTCTAAACATGTATGCACTGTCTAGAGTCCTCTAGGAACTTTTATATATATGTATATATATATATGTATATATATACACACATATACATATATATAAATATACATATATATATATATGGGTGTCTTACTAGTTCAATAATGGAAAGTCCAATAATCTAGCAGTTGTTAAGTCCACAAGGCTGGATATCTCAGCTGATCTTCAGTATATACCAGGATCCCAAAGAATTAGGCTCTAATACTGGTGAAGAAATGAACTTGCAAAACTTCCTTTCCTCCTTGTCCTTTATATAGATTTCCACGAGAAAGTGTGCCCCATATTTAAGGTAACTCTTCCTACCTCAAATGATCCAACTTAGTAAAAATCCCTTATAGGCTTACCCAATGTCTTGGATTTTTAGTTAATTTCACAAGTAGCCAAGTTGACTGCCAGGAATATCCACCACATGCATCAAGTTCCGTTCTCAGCACTCACACAGAGGACCACAATCATCTGTAACTTCAATTCCAGGGGATACAATGTCCTCTTCTGTTCTCTTTGGCCGCCAGGCATGCATGTGGTGTACATACATGCATGCAGCCAAAGCACTCATCCACGACAGAAAAGGAAAGAAGAAAATAGGTTAAATTATGGCTAACATCCCCAAGATTGATGAAATCTACATCCAAGAAGCTCAAAAAATATTAGGAAATCAATTCTAGTAATATACTGTATAAAAAAAGAATTAATTATATTCTGTGACAAACTGGGATTCACCTCGAGATGCCAGGTTCATTTAACATTGCAAAATCAGTTAATATGTCATGTCAAAATATTCTTTTAAAAAAGTAAAGACAGTCTAATAAATGCATAGATATTACATATTCATCTAGAAGACTGAATATAGATAGCTACGGCAGTATTCATCATGCTCTTCTACAGTTTAATGCAATTCTTGTTTAAAATTCCAGTTTGCATTTACAGAAACCAACAAGTTGATTTTAAAATTCCAATAGGAAGGGTTGAGGGAGGGGAACAAGAGGTCACATGTAAAGTGAATTTGTAAAGAAGTCAGCCAGTAGGAAAACATAAGGGTCATGGGAAGAAGACAGGGAGAGAAGTAAATGTTTGGGGAAAATGCCATAATGAAATCTATTTATTTGTAAGCTAATAAAGCTTGCTTCAGATAGAAATCTAAGGGACTGAAATACTGCATTAGTGTTGGTACATAAAACAACCAACTAGAAACCATGAGAGGACTCAACTTCTGGATTTCAAAGCTTACTACAGAGGTACACTAATCTTGTTTTGGGGTGTCCACTGGAGGAGATTACTCTGACACTGGTTTAAGCTAATATTAGCCTGCTGGCTACTCCACTAGGTGTTTTGGGATCTCAGTGTAGCTCCAGGTTTTCCTCAGGGTGAGCTTTTAAGCACAAAAACAGTATCTTGTGTTGACATGCTTCATTTAGTTAGAACAGTGAGCCAGAAGCAGAGTTACAGAAGCCAAAAAGCAAGGTTAGTACATTTAGAGACTTTCCCAGAACTGTGAACTTTGATGGATTAGGTCTAATTTTCGTTTTGGCAGGTGGCTCTGTCTGTGTGCTAAATGGAGTTTCAGGGCCTGAATGGTACTTCTGTTATGGAGCCAGGTGTGCTAAGACCTGAGAGCCTGCTAAGGTCTGAGCACTTGTTATAATCACAGTGTGGTGTGAGTGTTGTGAGACTAGATTCTAGAATAGGGATGGAGACGGCTCAGCAGTTTAAGAGCTCTTGATGCTCTTGCAGAGGACCTAGGTTTGGTTCCCAACACCCACTTCAAATGTCTCGCAGCTGCCTGTACCTCCAGTTCCATAGTATCTGACACTAACCTAACCTCTGCAGGCATTTAAATGCATGTGTGCATACACACGTGAGCACACAAAAAGAATAGACATAGATCAATGAAGCAGAAATGAGAATTCAGAAATAAATGCATACATTTGGGATCATTTGACTTGAGGCATGGTTGTCAAGAAAACAGTGGGATTAAATCAATTTTGTCAGAGGTGGTGCTGGAATAACGGATATCACAGTGCAAAAGATGTTGATTTAATTTCTACATTTCATATGCAAAAATGAACACAAAATAAATCTTAATGTAATGTCTTAAACTGTTAGATTCCTAGACAAAACACGGGGGTACATCATTATGATCTTACATTAGGCAGTGATTTCTTAGCCATGGAACAGGCACACAATGAAAACTGACTTATTGACATGTGAATCAGCCTTGTTTCTAATTTAAAAATAAAATAATTAAGACATTCCATGCTTCTGGATAAATCTAGTGGTACACACCTTTAATCCCAGCACTCGAGACGCAGAGACAGGCGGATCTCCTGAGTTTCAGACCAGCATGATCTACAAAATTGGTTCCAGGACATTTATGGCTACACAGAGAAACTGTCTCAAAAAAACACCAAAAAAAAACAGAATTTTCATGCTTCTGTAGCACCATTATGAAAGTGAGTTAGGCCCGGACTTAATAGCAAGACCCCGTCTTAAAAAAAAAAAAGAAAAAACAACTACTGTGAAATGGAAACACAAAATGGGAAATACTTAGGAATTGATAATTTGTTTTGTTTTTTGAGACAGCATTACTCTGTGTAACCCTAGATGTCCTGGAACTAGCTCTTTTAGACCAGACTGACCTCGAACTCAAAGAAATCTGCCTGTCTCTGCCTCCTGAGTACTGTGATTAGAGGGGTGCACCACCACCGCCTGGCTTGGAAATTGATAATGTTTTATTCAGGATATACGTAAGACCTATCATAGCTCCGTGGTTTAAGAATATGCAGAGCAGAGCAAGGATCTGCAAAGGCCTTTCCAAGAAGGGTGTGAATATATAGTGTGAATTTGTAAAGGTTGGTCTTGGCTCAGGGATTCAGTCCATAGTCCCAGGCTCCTTTGAATCTGGGTACATGGTGAGGCAGAACTTGCACGTAGGAAAAATAAAGCAAGGGCTACTCACCTCCTGTTGTATGGGAAGCAGGGAATGAGAAGGGAACATGGTATGACCGCCAATGGTGTGATCCCAGTGATATACATCTTCCCCCGCCTCCTAAAGTATCCACTATTTCAAGGTAGCAGCACCCACATGAGCTGGAGAGGGTCAGAAGTTTCATATTCAATTCATAGTACTGCACTGACCCTTAACCTAAGCTACAGGTCACGGATCCTTAAGCGCTGACATCTCAATTCATTTCCAAACACAAGGAAATTAGTCTAGATTCAGGAAGAGCAAGACCTACTGCTCCTACAGAACACCGTGATTCTGTAAGCCACTTTATTTATGTAAGAAAAAGCTTACTGGATAGTAACTGGTATCTCATCCCTTTAGACACAATCTCCTGTATTCCAGGGTGGTCTCAAACTCACTATGTAGCTGAGAATGACCTTAAGATTCTGATCCTCCTGTCCCCACCTAGAGAGTGCTAGGATTACAGGTGTGCACTACCATGCACACTATCTGAACTGCTGGGGTGGAAACCTGGCCTTGCATACTAGCTTGGTAAGCTGTTGATCAGCTGAACTCTACCCCCAGCCGCTGCCTAGAAACAGAAGCATTTTCCTTGCTGGCCATGAACTTTAAGTGGGTTTGGGTTTTCAACAGATAAACAGCTTTTAAACTCCTCTGGCTGCCTTCTCCTCTCCCTCTTTCAACATTCCGGGGTAACCTTGGTGGAATCCTTTTAGTCTCTAAACTTTGCTTAGACTGAAGGTGATCAGAACTCTCCTTGTACTTGAGCATTTTAATGATGTGTGGCTGATTTTCATTCTTGGACTGTTTTAGTGTTCTTCTGGCACTTCTGTCAAGTCTCCCACAAACACTCCGGGGTTTATGGATTTGACCTTGAGGAAGAGTTCTGAGCAAACTGAGGGGAATCAGTTTAGTCTTTGAGGGGCATTAGAGTCCGCTCTGCCTCCTTAGCATCTACATAGTAGATATAAATTTAAGAGTCAGTGGGCATTAAGTGGTATTTCCTTGTGGTCTTCCTTTTTATTTACTTAATGATAGATGATGTCAGCACTTCCTCCTGTCTTTCTGGCTATTTGTGATACAAATAGGGAAAAAATGAGAGACTGAGAGTCTGCCTTAGTTACGGTGTTTGAGGAAAAGAAGTACCCGATGGACGTAATTTTGCTTAAGGGTAAGGAAAGTCACTATTTTTTGCATTTACATTTATGATTCCTAAAATTTAGAAGTAAAAGTATTTGTGTAAATGAATTGGAATAATTATATTTTATAAATATATGGTGATAAGTTGAAAATCTTTTAGTACTGTTTGAATTTAATTTCAGATATTTCATTTTCATTGAATAAAAATGCCAATCTTAAGTGGGCATTTATTTATTGCTATATGCCATTATTTTACAGAATAATTTTTCAGGGTTGAAATGGATTAATGTTTACTGAATCACTTTCATTCTTTGAAAGTTAATCTCATATTAATAAAGACTAGAAGTCTATATTTTTCAATTGCTTTTAAGATTGCTTTCATGTTCTAATATGAAAGTAATAGCTTTATTGCAAGTAGGACCTTATATGAATTTCACTTGCCTTTATTAAAATAGATTTTTATACA